ACTTAGACCCGTATCAGCTATAATAGATGAACGACGAGGCAATCGAACGGTCGATCATGCAAACCTACGGTCGTCCGTTCGAGGAATGATAACCCTTCCTCCCGTCGCGTGAATTCCACTTCCGTGTCTATGGTACCCGTTGTTCGTATATCTCCTGAAACGTGTACAGGCATACTACTACCGTAACTTGCGAACCGTGCCGTAAAATCTGTACAGGATCCGTGGCAAATCTCGAACGTCATGAAAATCTCTATTTTTATCCAACGGAAAACGAGTGAAAAGTCTTGGTTCATAGATTGTTAATACTTTATTCACGGAACAGCGGACGATCTGATTCTTGACATTACTAGATTATTCATTCCTCTCAATTAGTTTCATACGCTCGCGATGCTGATCGTACGGTCCGTTACTAGCACAGTAATAACGAAGCTATATACCCCCGATAAATTGTGCCGAGTAATAGCACAATTTCGCGACTCCTACGCTGTTACATTATTCATGCACGATTATGCTCCTGTATAATTTTTTCTCATGCATTTTGTCTTCGCCCCCTATTCATTAACAATAAGTATGATAGCTGCGGTAGACGGATCAGTCGTCAAGCCGCATAGTGCATATTATCTAATTACAAGGCGTCGGTGAGGTGTGACACGGAGATCGATAAAACCTACGGTGGCGAACTAGCAGGAAATTCTTCGTTCATTACCCCGGGCGAATAAACAAACGGAACCGTGGAATAATTGCGAGAATCCAACCCCACAGCGGCGGCGCGGCGGAACCTCGACAAAACCCGGAGCCAACTCTCGTGTCTAATGAAGCGTTTCTCGACGGAACGAGGAGGGGCCCACGGGTTTCGGACACGGTTGTTAATCGTTCGTCTTCTTGCGTGAATATGCAACGCCGCCGCAGCGCAAGAACTTTCGACCATGAATAGCTTATGGCTAATAAGTTTCTCGTTGTAACGTTTCGTGGTTGAAAACCGCGAAACTCCTCTTAGCGGTCGTTGAATTAATAATATTCGGCGGCGTGTATATGTATACATCGTGAAACGAGAGCCATCCTCATCCCGTTTTCCGAGAGTTCCATCCAGTTTCGTCAGCGAGTCGCGTCGCGTCGCGCAGCGGACCTAGCCAGTCGCGTTTTCTCGAGTTTGCGAAGACAACAGCTGCACGCTCGTTCAAATATTAAGTAGTTTCGTATACGGTAGAGGCCCTTAGAAATGGGTTGCCGATCGATCTACAGCCACGAGGTTCCTTCGAATGATCGACGGTACATCTCAAATCGATGCATGGCATGTATTTGCGCAGCTGTGGCCAGTCCCGACGAAAGTAGACCGTCTTATGCAGTCCGTGTATTATATCCGGAACTGCGCAAAGTTACCGAGTTTTTTTCTGAATGTCTCCGAGCAGAAGTTGTTGGATCGCGCATGGTAACTACAGGCCATGGTGCATAATGAAAGGGGACGCGCATTATGCGAGGGTGCAAACAATGAACCGTGAATAGACGAGTGATTCGAGGTGTGTAATTTCGCAACGGCGAAATAACCTCGTACACAGATATATATCTAATAGGCAATCGATAAAGTGGCCAAAAGCGATCAATGGCCTACTTCTCGTTCTCGCGTAAATTGCTCCGATCCGCGACAAGCGTTTTGAAACCCGAGTCACGGTGAGAAAGCGGTCGAACGTTGTTGACTGGCCGCGTGCGATTACGCCCACGGCTCCGGGCGAATTAAAGAACAATCACTTTGTTCGACTCGCAAGCGATTTCTGATGGAATCGCGATATTTAGACCGAAATCTTTTGCCCGTCGTACCTTTAACGTGTTACGGAGAACTCGATCAGGATTATCCATGTTTAATGATCGGAAGCGTATCGTTACGCGGGCTCGTCATTTCATGTTTACCGTTCATGCACAAAATTTAACGAGACCGATTTAAACGAGATTGACAGGGAGAGGGGGACGCGGGGTGCGTGTGCTTAATGACGCGAAATGCCATTACGCAGTATAAAACCGTTTGTTTGCACGTAATCATCGCGCCCGTGTCTCTTGCCGTTCTGCGATTTCAGTTATTTCAGCCGGAGCGTTTTCAGTTTCGCTTCGCTTGCACGCGACGCGTTAATAGATTCCCGTTGTTTAATAATTTCCACCCGGGGAAGAATTGGACGGACGTCCATTTAGTTAGCTCGCGCGTCGTTTAATTGCTTTATGGAACGTCCGGCGGAAAATTGATAGCACTTCGACAACGAATTGAATACAATTTGTATCGATACCAGAGAGCCTAAGGGAATTCCGAAACACCCTTCTTCGCACCGCTGCCGATCTAACGCGGAAGTCAAACGAGATCAGGAAAGGTATTCTTTCCGGGTCACCGTTCACCCTTCGCGCATCCAGTTTCCACTTTCGCGAAGCAAACAGCCGTCCCTTTAGACAGACGCGGGATCCCTCGGTTCCCCACGCAACGCCAGAAATCACGCGTTTGACGTCTCCGCGTACCGGAAACGCACTCTGCGTCTGAATATTTCAGACGGCCCGAGCGGGAGACAGGCTCTCGCACGACAAAGGGCCGGGCATCGCGAATTCCGCGTCCTTTTGCTTTCCAATAAGCAACCGAATACTATGTCTGCCTGGCTGCACGAGCCGCGTTAATAATTCCGAGCCACCGCTTAGCTCGATTTAAGCTGCGATGCTCGTCTGGTTCTTCAGACGGTTTTATGCTTGTATTGAGACAGCACGATAGAAAGCGAAGAATAGAATGTGTAGAATAATATTGGGGGAACAAATAGCACGAGGAATTTCATTTCATTTCTTCGTTGGTTTTGTAATTACGTTTGTGAAACGCTGGCGTGATAATTTATAGAAACGCTTGAACAATCAGGCCGTGAACGAGCAATCGCGCGTCTTTTTCTTCGTGTGTGCACACGCCGCGGTGGAAAGACTTTTGTCGACGGTTACTGCTCTTACCGGGGCGCGAAATTAGCGATCGCAATTAGTCGCGGCTGGCAACCGAGCGCCGGCTCTCTTTTCCGTTGTTTTCCGCGATCCAGCCCCCGGGCTCGTGTACCAGAGATTGTTTCCCTCGCCTCTCGCACCATTGTCCCTGTTCTTTCCCGCCTTCCTCTTTCTCTCATTCGCTAACCCTTGCATCACGATTTTGCTTTTCTTCCCTTGGCTCTCGAGTGTCTACGGGTGTCTCGCGAGAACAAGCATAGGAGAAAGTATTATTTGTCTTTTAGAGCATCTTGCAGGATCGACAGAATTTTTCTTTTATTGATCAGCCATTCCATTTCTACTCTCGTAGAGACGAAACATTGCCGTCCATACCCGGCCCCTTTCGATCCTTTTTTGTTTCTCCTTTGTCACAGACTGGCGGCTGGGTTCCAGTTATTGTATCACCCTATGTTTCCCTTCCTTTAACCCCTTCGCCATTTCTCCCGAGAGTGACGTAAACCCTCCGACAAATTGGCACGCGCGTGTCCACGCAAATTGCTTAAAAACTCCATTCGGCACGAAGCTGCTAGTTTCTCTAATTTTTCTCAGAACCTACGAATAAATACGACGAGATCTTCCTAAATTTATCTTCCTATTTGATTTCCTGTTTGCGTTGGCGAAATCGGATGGAATCGACGCAACTGTTACGCACGTTTGTCTGGATTAAGACAATCCCTGCACCAAGTCTCGGACACCCCACTCGCGAACTCTCGCTCTTCCCATGTACTTTGAGCGTTCGCTAATCCGAAGCGCGAGGGTAACATTAATTGCGGTGAGCAGGGAGCCCGATTGGATGGAGGTTGTTCGAAGTTGTTCTTGGGGAGGTATGGTAATGGTTCGGATAGGAGTCGGGGAATTATGGGATATGGGGAATGTTAATCGCGATAGTGTTGATTAACACGCATAGGTCACGGGAACCGTCCCATCGAACAGATTCTTTAGTACCGGAACGCGAGCCAGGACGGTGGCATAAATTCCTTATAGTTTCTTTTTTAACCCCCGTTCTTTTCTCGCTTCGAGTAATCCTCTCGGTAGATTCAGGAACGAGTTTCGCCCGGAATTGAGTTCGGAACTCTAGAATAGCTTGAATGAAATTGCTGTTCTTTGATGGACCCTCGTCTAAGAGGATTGCTCTGTTTCGGCAAACCATGGAAAAAGAGTTACGGCGGAAACTTCGATCCCAGAATCCAAGATGATGTTAGAATTTTGCATGCCTTGTCTGAATCGTAACTTGTTGAAAGTAATCTGATACCTTGTCAACGACGTCGACAAAAGTTAATCCAACGAGGAGACGGAAGGGACACGGATCCCCCTCAACGCGATTTATTTACCACGAGTCGAGGCAGGTATCGGTTTCTTAGTCGCGTAACCAACCGATTCGGAAGCTAGTTTACCGTTACTACACCGTCGTAGGTAGGTTCGACGACGAGAGCATCGAACAACAGGCCCTAACCTCGTTCCGTGCCGTACCGTGGTTGGATCCGATTTCACGTTCGAACGGAGCTCGGTGATCGACCGTCGGAAATCCCATACGTTCCCGCGAGGATCCTCTTCGACGACGATCGACCCCCTCCTGCAACTTGACCGTTCTCTTCGTTGATATTCATTCGACCCTTATCCCGAAACGACCAGCTAACCGCGGAAAAAGCAATCTTTCAAAGAAATCCAAAATAAAAATATGAGATTGCGCCCCTTTGCGCCTCCACTTAAATCTCGATCGTTTAACAAATTTCATTAGTTCGTCGAAGAAGGGGTAAATGTTCAGCGCACGGGAAACAGCGTGAGGAAGCTGGTAGGAAGGCGTTTCGGCATTCGCGGAAGAAGGCGCAGCCTCCGGCGGTGGCAGCGGCGCGTCTCTCTGTGGCAGGCAGCCACCACCACCGTCACCGCCACCACCCCCGACGACGACAAGGGGATGAAGAAGAGCGACGCTATCGAAGCGAGACGTGTATATATGTACAATATATATAGAGGCGCGCGCTCGTCGGCAAGTTCAGTCGTCGACCGCGTGCCGAGCCGCGAGGATCGTGCGCAACCCTCCTACTGGTCTATTGCGAAACGCACCCCTGGACTACCCTCTCTCGTGCCGTCGTCGATCGCGCGCGCCCTGTCACGTGTCCCTCTCCTTTGGCCATCTTCCTCGTGCATCCGCGCGTGCAGCCAAGGGCAACGGACCGTACGCACGCCGCGGATTCGTCATGTAATTTGAACCTGCGAGAGCAATTAACGCCGCTCGGTTCCTCCTTTTGTTCTACGACTTCTCTTTTTATCGGCTTTTACCTCGTTCATCGTTTTTATTTCTTTCGTTTTTTGCGAGAATGCGAAGGGATAAAGGACGGGTCGATGATAGACGATGGATAATGGGTGATTGAAATTTAAACGAGGACTGCGGATTTCGGGGTTGAGAAAGGGTTCAGTGAGATGTAAGTCAAGGATGGAGCTGAAGGTCAGCATACTGCTTCTGGCGCTTCTACGCCTCGCCAGCACCCTCGAGAGTAAGGATGATTTATCTTACCGCGAGATTTATAGCGTCTAATAGGCAACGCTCCCCGTACCCGGGCACAGTTTTTCACGCTGTACTTACAAGTCCTTAGCGAACAGTGATACGACTTCGAGATTTGAGTTTCCCATTCGTCGACTGTTGCGGAGTTGTTCGTGTTTAGTCGTCAACCCTTGCTGCGCTCGTCGTGACACGTCAAGAAGAACTTCCAAAAGTTCCCGAGTCATTAAGACAAATTGTTTGCAAAAACATAGAAATGCGAAAAGTAACAGGCCAAAAGGTCAATAAAAATTGCAGAACGATTTTATTCTCTATAGTAACGAGGCGCGAAGATTATCACGTGTAATAAAAAATCTAGCGGAATGAAAATTAACCGGTGCGTCGATTCGCACGCGTCCTGCGAAACACCTGAGGCAATTAATCACGCCGTGAAAAAAGGATCATAAAAATACGTTGCGAGCAAATTAAATCCGCGCGAATAAAATCATTTTTTAACACTTCTTTTTTTTATAATTCGACTCTACACGATCCAGCAATGTTTTCACACTGCACATTATCCTTTTATTTCCGATGGAAGCGTTTTCCCATGCATTAATAGACACATACATTCGGTAAAATAGTTAATCGTCGTGGGAAGTTAATTAAGAAGTCAAAACATCTCGCGGTACGACGGGGATAAATTCCTCGGCGGAATTTACGTTGATATTCTGAAAAGCCCCTCGGCTCGAATCCGTGACATGTTTTCCCGCTGATGTGACAGTCAGGGGTAATCGCGTTTCGGTTTACTGCTTCGAGTCAAACAAGAGTCGCGATCGCGCGAGGCAATAAAGTCCCGAGCTTCCTCGAGGCAGCGGTATAATACATGCGACGCGAGTGTAAAGACTAAGAGATCTCGTAAGCGTGCGAATCCCGCTGACTGATACACGACGTAAAATCCCCGTACGCGTCGTTAAACCGGAGCTTAAGCCGCTCCCATCGCGCGACGTCTAAATTTACCGTGGCCGGAGTCGCGCCGAAGATGAGAGAGCGTCCGATCGGCTTGTTAACGCGACCGCGATCATCGGGGACCAGAACGGCACTCTAGACCGGCACGGCTCGTTTTGCCCGTTGAATTAACTCCTCTGCGTGTGCTGCGAGACGTCTCCGATCTTTATCGGCGGTACGCGTTAAGCTAAATCGACGATACTTAGGAATTTTAGGGCAGGGCGTAGGCGAAGTGTTGAAACGATGCGCAGCTGTTGTGTCCCAGTCGAAGATATTGTACCAGTAGAAACGTTAAAATCGTTATTTACGATCTCGGTTAATAAAGTTGAACGATAAACACTGGTTGATCCATAAATGACTCGGCCCGCGATCATGAAAATTATACGGGAGATAGGCGCCTGATCGTTTTATGCTTCCACTTTTTCTCGTGGCTCGGGCGACAAGTTAAACGTGATACTCACTTATTCATAGCCCGAAGACACTCCTTATAATTAGATTAATCATTCGGATATCCACTTTTCGTCCAATTCCACTCATTAAGCAGAGATTTGAAATTCGTTAAAACTCGGCGCTGCCGTAAATCTCACCCTCTCTTTTGTTCTCAGACGCGAAGGAGGAGGAGGAGGACGCGGACGAGGAGGACGAGGAGAATTATCCTGTAGACGACTACGACTACGGTGACTACGAGACCGCGACCATAACCAGCGATACCGATCTTATCGCCGGTGGCTCGTTGCCGATCTTCCTTGCGGAGCCCGTCGACACGTTCGTGGTTAAGGGGAAGCCGGCAACCCTTCATTGTCGCGCCGCGCACGCTCTTCAAGTACGCAAAATCACTATATCAGTCACCGTTCATGTAACACCGGTGACAATCCTCGCCTTAAATGAACGCCGGGGGCGTCATAGTCGTTCATTTATAAGATACATTAAATTATCATTTCCTATTGCCCCGTTTACCTCTGGCACTTTTCATTAAAGCAGTCGAGCTCGCCGAGAATGCCACTGGTACAAGTATTAAAAAATTAAATCTGTGAGCGTTAATTAAGAAATCCACGGCTAATGGCTGAACAATAAAAATCGCGAGATGAAAACGTCGAAGCGGTAACAAAGAGTAGACTTTTAACGAAATTGCCTTTTTGGCTTTTGCCTCGTTGGCCCGGGAGGCTGGCTTGTATGAAACGTTCTCTGTCATTTTCCACTTCACCCTTATTAACCACTCAAGATTTACCGTGTTCTAAACACGCGGACGACGCGGCCCTTTTCACGCGGCTCTAATTACTTACCACCTAGCCAGCTTGTTCCTCGTCGCAGGTGTACTTTCGCTGCAACGGTGACCGGGCTGAGCGATCGCAGTACCAGGACTTTGTCGACCCTCGCACCGGGACGAGGGTCGTCGAGGTCGAGTTGAACGTGACGAGGAACGAGGTCGAGGAGTACTTCGGCAGGGAGAGGTTCAAGTGCGAATGCGTGGCATGGTCGGGACCAGGTCAGATTCGAGGGCAGCCCGCCACGGTTGAGGTCGCCTGTAAGTAGAGAACTCTCCAATTTATCCGTTCGGTACTCGCTCTTTCAATGTTCCCCTGCTTCTCCGTCCTCCGACCCCGCACGAAATTATTCTTCGGAATGTTCTCAAAAAATTAATACCAATCTTTAGTGCTACATCAAAGAATAATAAAAGACAATAGGCCATACGACGAAAAAAATAGCTTCGATGGGGCTGTAAAAAACGAATTAATGCGTAATCTCGGCGTATTCGAAACGGCCGTGAAAAAGGGATTCTGGAATCGGTCATAAAACAACTTCATTAACCAGATTAGGGGTAACCAGGGATTTTCGCGAATACCCGCCGCGAAATTCACTCCTATAAGCTCCGCCGCCGACAAGGGTTATTTGGTGGCGCGAGGGCTGGTTGTTTTCGTCGGATATCCCGTGACGCGTAAACCGAGCCCAAAATCTAATCGATATTCTATTGCAAAGCAAACACCTGTGAACGGAGAATCGACGCGCTGACTACCAATCGCTTCTTCTTTTTTCCTTTTTCACGGTGAGCTAACTAAACCGGCGCGTTGTTGCCATGCAAATTGGTTCGGTAACCTGTGAATCACAATAGCGCGAGACGCATGACAATCACTTACGATTTTTAGGTCCAACCATCGAGCGTTAGTCGGTCTGATAACGAAGTTGGTCAGATAAAACGTGAAACAATTCAAACGTGTCATTATCTCCGATTATCTTACAACTAGTCTATGAATCTCGCAATACAGCGGATTAAATGCGAAATAGGCAAGAGAGCAGTCGAAAGTCGAAAGAGCAATTGGGTGCGCGTCGCCGCGTACAAACACGCGAAAGACAAAGGGTTGCAAACAGGACGTAGAATTAAATCCGTATTTGCGCGCAAACAGGAAACGGATGTACCACTGAAATTGAACGCGTGGATAATATCGATCGCAGCGTTACATTGCGTTTCGCAATTCATACCTTAGAAAAACAACACGATTGATTCTGCATTTATTTCGTTACTAATAAAGAACGTGAAGGAGAACAACATGAAAGAAAATAGGAAAATTGATTTAATGTATATGATCCGGTATACTATTACTACGCGGTTTTAATTAAATTGAAAAGATTCGCATTTCCAAAGCCACTCTTACGTACACACATGTGTTCGGTCCGTCGATCCAAAATAGAGATATAACGCGATCGCGGGGAGCGTTGCGTCTCCATCTAATCATACATATTCCCTATTCACGGTCGCATTAAAAGCATTTCTGGTTAGCAATACGGGGTCAAAGGTGGTCTAGACTCGGAGGGCAAGAATGTAACCAGTGGATCGGTCGCTACCCCTCGCGAGCGACATGAAAGCTGCTATTTCTCCGCGGCACACCGGATAATATAGCACGGCCGGCGAATAGCCACCCTCCTCGTGGCCGCGAATCTTTTTCCACCTTTCCCGGCCGCCGCTCGGTACTCGACCGGAGCATAGAGACGCATCCGCGCCCCGTGAAAGAGCGCCCCTGCATTTATACACGCGCGCGCGGCCTAATATCGCTGAGTGCCCTAGCCCTTCTCCCCTCGACCTCTTGCATCCGGGGCGAATATTAAAAGAGGCCCGCCCGTCCCCGTCAGACCTGAAGAAGCACTTCCTGTCGCCGCCGTATTCGCTGTCCGTCGAGGTTGGTCGCAGCGCGGAACTCCGTTGCACGCCTCCTCTAGGACTGCCAGAACCGAGGGTCTACTGGCTCCGAAACGGCTCACCTCTGGAGACGATCGTCGCCGGCTCCACGCCGGCTCCGTCCACCGCGGACAGAATCCCGAGCGACGTGACGGCTAATAACTTCGTGCAAACTGGCGAGGGGCATCTGATCCTGGCGGAAGCCGAGCTGACACATCAAGGGAATTACTCGTGCGTTGCGGAGAACATCGCTGCCAGACGCGTTAGCGAACCAGCCGTGTTGACTGTTTACGGTAAAATTTCTTCTCTCGTTTCGTTTCGGAAATCGATTCTCGTTTAAGGATCTCTTTGTTTGGAAATGCTTGTAAGTACTCGTGTAGATGATCGCGCCTCGCTAGGTTTGTAATTAAGATACAGGGAACGATAGAAGAGCAGTAGAGTAAGATGGAACTTGGTCGGACAATGGGCGATACCGGCATCGCGTGAGAGACTGTAGCTCACGGCGAACTTCTGCTAATTGTTGTTTCCTAAGGAGTCTAACAAGATTCCGGTAACTTTGTACAGTCTATTGAAAAGTTTGTTACGGTTCACGATTTTCTGGTAATTAAAGGGGCTTTAGGTGAATTAAGAAGCATATCATAAGTACCGTGTCAGATATTATTGTATTCACTGAACATTTTAAACAATTATTAGCAGAGCATTATTATATTAATGTTTTAATACGGCACTTTCCTTGGTGAACGGTTTCCTTTCGCTTTAACCTTTGCACCTCGTGGATTCGTTCCCAGTGAACGGCGGGTGGTCTTCCTGGTCCGGATGGTCGGACTGCAGCACCCGTTGCGACCGAGGCGTGCAAAAGAGGACGCGAACCTGCACGAATCCCGCGCCCATCAATGGAGGTCAATCCTGTCCGGGCCCGGCAACGCAAAGGGTCGAGTGCAATCCTTCCTGTCCCGGTAAGTCCGAGCAATTACAAAACAATTACAGCGATACTCGTGTACTCAAAACATAGACTTGTACCCTGTCCCATCGCCGAGACGAACGGGTAGAGGCACAACAACACCCAGATGTAATCGTTGCCAGTCCGGGGGTACATCTGATAAAGCGAGATTTAATCGGGATTTTCGAGCTCACCCGTTGCTTTCAGCGGTTGACGGCAGATGGTCGAGCTGGTCCTCCTGGTCCGCATGCGGTCCCGATTGTTCCAGAGTAAGAAGGAGATCTTGCAACGACCCCCCGGCGAGCAACGGCGGTCGTCCCTGTCAAGGCAAGGACGTCATCGTCGAGTCCTGCTCCGCGGATCGATGTAATGGTGAGCTCCAGCTGGGTCTCTGACTCCATTTTATTTTATTTTTCCTCCACCGCGTTCGTATCCTTTCTCTTTGTTTCGCCGTGACTGGGCCAACGGCAGATAATTTATTACGAGCGAACGGGCTTCTCTTGTCCGGCGCGTCGCGTCCGACGATCCGAGCGTGCCGACGAGACGCGATTTTAAATTAATAATGACTCGCAGAAAGGTCCCGGGGCCCATTATTCGGCCCGGGCCCCGGGATTGTTGCATCGTAATCTCGTTCGATTAACCGGTCATTGGTCGCCGCAAATATTCCCATTGTCCAGTGACAGGCGTAACATCGTCGGCCGGAGATTAGATTAAATTTTCGGCGGATGCCCGAGGGAGATGGAACGCGAAAGATTAAGGCGGTCCCCGCGCGCCCAGCTTGTTAACCTTGTGTCCCGTGGATTTTCTCGGATCACGTACTTAGCTTCCTGTACAGAATGTAAGTCACTTTTCTTCCCCGTGCTATCGGACGCAGCCCTCGGACAGGACGGACCGCGGGTCTTCAAGGAAGGTAAATGCAACCGCGCGCAATTCCGACTCATAGACAAACAGTCCGCAAGTTCTCGTGTTCTCTGATCTTAGCGACCAGGGCGATCGATCACAGAAACATTCTGGCTCTGTGGATCACCCTCAGCCTGGCGGCGATCGTGCTCGCGGTGACTACCATCTTCTTCCTCCGACTCATGCGTCGGAAGGAGAGGATGGAGGCTCTGTACGGCGTGGCCAGACTCGACTTCCATCGTCCAACCGATTTGGCCAAGTCCGTCGTCTCCAAGAACGACCGCTCTTGTCTGTCCGTGGACCGGAGGTTGGAACAGGTGATAGACGAGTCGAACGCCGCCAGAATGTCTAGGTAAACGAATTTCAAGAGGAGAACGCTTGTTCGAAAATGTCCCCGGTTAAAATTCGTCTGACAATATACAGATCCTGCTCGGAACATCATTACGACGTGCCGCAATTGTCGTTACCCTCGACTACGAGGCCGTCGCCCAGTTCTTCCGTCGCTAGGTCCTCTTGTAAAAACTCACAACGTGGTAGAGGACTGTCAGACAACGAGGAGAGTCGATCATCCCGTAAGAAACAAAATGATTCGATAGGTCATAACTAAACTACGGATTTGATGCATGTACAAAAAATTGAATGTACACAATACGAAATATCGAAAGCTGAATGCAATACTGAAGGATGTATTGGCTATACAGTCATCCCAAAAGTTTATATATCTTAGAAAAACGCATTTCCTATAGTTAAAAAGAAATCAGACGTCGGAAGAACAATGCTAATAATAAATAGCTACGTGCTAAAAAGTATAGAAGGAAATATCTAATTAAGTATTGACGCTGACGGAAAATTTTTTTTTCAAAATTGCGAAAAATGCTTCAAATAAAAGTTGTTTTCCTTCTAACTTCGATATTTAACGAGTTACGTATGATTATTTGGCATTTTATTGATGTTGACAAAATCCGATCATCCCAGCGTCGAAACGGCGAACTTTTGACAAAAAATTTCATTTCTTCTTAATTACTCCTAAACCGTTGAATCTACGGGAAAATTGCATAGGACCTTTCTTGTAG